CAAAAGTTCTGATGTTTTTTATCAAGACCAACTTCGTTCAACATTTTCATAAACGTGTTACATTCTTTTGAGAAAACACCTAAGGCACTAATAGACAAATTAATAAATTTGACAGTTTTGAAATGGTCTTTCTGCTGCGTAATTAGATCCTTGTATCTTTGCCTTTTGCGATCGACGTTGTTTTGGAGATTGGATTCATATCCGACAGAGAGTTCGAGTATGTACAGACAATCATTTGAAATCGAAAGAAGCAGGTCTGGGCGATAAGTGTCACCGGTTATTATTGACGGGCTCTTGTATCCAGGAAGGTCAACAAATAGAGTGGAGTTGTGGTCAGGTTGGAATATTTTTGAGATAAAATTTAAAATGGAGTCATGTCTCCAAGTAAATCGTGGAAGGTATGACTGGCATCCCGCGACCACATGCAGAAGGGTTTCAGGGTTCAGGCAGAGGGAACAATCCGAGTTTGACATTATTCCCCATTTTGTAAGGTTTTTGCGTGTGGGAAGAGTGTTGTTGATGTAACGGATGGTGAAGTTATAGATGCTTTTTGGCAAGCTGGATTGAGATAATAATGATAATAATAATAATAATAATAATAATAATAATAATAATAATAATAATAATAATAATAATAATAATAATAATAATAATAATAATAGGTTTATTCAAAAACTTATTGCAGCAAATGCTGGATTACAAATTAATACATAAATTATCAAGAATAACTATATTTTTAAAAATCTATCAAGTTACATATTTTTTACATGTTAGAAGTAAAAACGGGCAAGTTACATATTTTTACATAGTTTTTACAAGATATCAATATTTACAAGTTATAAAATTTAAAAATCTATCAGTATATTTATGGAATTAGAACCATTAGAAATAATTAGATTCGCTTAGATGTCGTAAGTTATATTCATGATTTATCCCAACGCGGTTGTATAATTGAAGAGTTTTCATTTAAGCGGACCAAATGATTTATTGTCTTTAGCAAACTTTTTGCAGATCTCTTCTCGTCTTTTAACCAACGTTTGGAGACCAGCCTTCTGCAGCGACTCTTCATATGACGATCCAGGGTCGATCATTTTTAGGGCTCGCTTTTGGACTCTCTCAACTTTAGCTTTTAAGTTGTCCGGAATAGCAGACCGGCCAAACAGGGGCAGCGTATTCGAGGATTGGTCTGGCTAAGCTGCAAGTTTTTATATATATATATATATATATATATATATATATATATATATATATATATATATATATATATATATATATATATATATATATATATATAGCTTAAGATTTTGGTTTACGAAACACAACCAGTGCTCAATACCATATAGATAGAGCGTAATATAGTTTTTCGTTTTACCTCAAAGAACCACAACAGTCTGTTTCATCCGTATAGGAATCATCAGGTGGTGAATAATTTCGAAATTGTAGCTTGCTTTTATGTTATCGAAAGAATGTTCGGAATGCGTGTAGGCGAAACAATGCTTAGGTGAAACAATGCATGCTTGGGTCATTAGGTTTTGTTAACGACCTTGTTTACTCGAAACCGGTTTTTGTGACGACATATGCCATATATATATATATATATATATATATATATATATATATATATATATATATATATATATATATATATATATATATATATATCTTATTAAAGTCTCTTATTAGCTTTCTTAGTAGTAATATAGTCACAGTGTAGATTCCATGAGAGATCGTTATTCAAATAAACATTAAACATGCACCAAGTAGCTTGTATGATGATACTCTTTCAATTGTATTCCCACCAACCTGTAATACATCTAGGAAATGGCAATCTGTATCAAGCGATCAATCAACACAATTCTCAAGCTGAATTGTTCCTGATTACAACTAGAGGTTCTTTCAAATGGTTAGGTAGCTTTGAAGAACTTAAAAGTTTTGTGATAAAATCTTGAAGATCTACTTAAGATGGCTTGTGCCCAGAGATGGATGTAAATCATTTGAAAACGAAGATATAACGATCAGATGGTACTCAACAAATAATTCACTGATAATTAAATGTCAAGATGGTGAATCGCTTCGAAACGAGCTTAAATTGATCGCAAATCCAATGGACGAAAGTGTTGGGGACTCGCAAGATGACGAGTTGATTTCTGCCGAAGGCGACGGCGACAGTATAGCTTCAACTCGAATTCATGGGAAGGTAGACGAAGTTGTTCAATCGGAAAAAAGCCCTCAGGTAACCGCCAAGGACTCTTCTGACTATGTTTACTTTCAAAATCAGGTAAGCGAAATTAAATCAAATCTAGATCAGCACATTGATAAAACGAGAGCGGAACTTCAACGAATAGAGGAATCTCTTGCAGATCAATTTGATCAGCTAAAAGAATTACAGTTCAACGAAAGGACAAATGAACTTGCCAAGTATTGCTTGTCCAACTTAGAGACCCAAAACTGTAAGCTCAAACAAGAAAATATTCAGCTTAGGATCGATAACGACAGTCTTAAAGATAGACTCAATTCTGTCTCCTACATTCTCTTTGACCTAAACACCAAAATTAAAGATTTCGAATAGAAAAGCTTAGTCTAGTCACTGCTATAAAGTTATTACAAGAAGACAACAATTTAGCAACAATAAATAACAGAGATTCGGCTTGCAGTTCGTGGCAAACTTCAAGGTCTAAAGCACAAAGTAATACACATAATATTTCCTCTAATGATGGGCATAATATAACCGTATGCATGACTGATAAGAATAATCAAGCACCAGAGGCAGTGACAAAAACATCAAATACGTTTGATATCTTGTCTGTGGAAAGTACGTTGTTCTGATAATGAAAGCGACACAAATGTAGATGAAAGTACTTTGAAGCTCAACACTGTATTGCCATCGGAATCTAGACTAAATAGCCCAAACGTCGACTCGAGGAAGTATAATAGTGCACAAAAGAAAAATCAGTCAACCCAATCTTATGTTCAAAGCAAAAAGTCTAATTCAAAGTCCAATGATAATAATCGTAGTTATCGTACTGCGAATTCGAAGAGAGCCGCTACATCTCAAAAGGGCACTACAAATCAACCTAGTAAGCTTGTATTTATAGCTGGAGATTCAATAGTCCAACATGTCCACGGCTGGGAGTTATCTGATGCTGAACGGCGAGTAGCGGTAAAATCATTTTCAGGAAGCAAAATCGAAGATATGCGTGACTTCCTTAAACCACTTATCCGCAAAAAAAACTGATGAGGTGATATTACACATAGGCACCAACGATGTAAAAGATAAATCGAAGACAGCAGAAGTGGTTGCAGCTGGTATCCTGAATCTGGGTACTCAGGTTAAAGAATCTTTGCCACGTACAAAAGTAAGCTTCTCAAGTATAACTGTCAGGAAAGACAGACATTCTATTCAAATTAAAATAGAACATGTTAATGCTATACTTAAACGCATGTGCATTGAAAATAATTGGACCTATATAGATAATAGCAACATTGACTATATTTGTTTAAATAGGCGTGGTTTACACCTAAATAAAAACGGAAGCTCAATTATTAGTAAGAATTATAGCAATCATTTACGCTTAAATTGATATAATGTACAGCCAGGTGGAAACAGGCATACACCGACTAACCCATGCTTACCTAATGTAAAGGGTTTTAAAATGGGTATGCTTAACATAGCTAGCTTACCTAAACATATAGAAGAAATTAGAGTAATATTAGCTGAAAAATGTCTCGATATTCTCGCACTAAATGAGACAAGACTAGATAATAATATTACCAATCAGGATATGTTTATTCACAATTATCATTTAATTAGGGCCGATCGCTCTAGAACAGGGGGAGGCGTCTGTTTATATATAAGAAATTCCATTAATTATTTCGAACGAAAAGATCTGACTAGAGATAATCTTGAAGCAGTTTGTATTGAGGTTAACAAACCCTCTTCTGCATCATTTATTGTTGGTACCATTTATAGACCTCCAGGTGCTTCTGTCGACTCTTTTGCCAATATTGAGCAACTAATTAAACTTATAGATGATGAGAATAAGGAATTTTACATGTTTGGTGATTTAAATGCCAATATGCTTGACGTTTCAAATAATGCCACAAAAAACTTAAATTCAATCATTGAACTATATCAGTTAACACAAACAATAAGCTCACCCACTCGCGTGACCATGACTTCATCTACCCTGTTGGATGTTTGTCTCACCCTAACTCCAGATAAGTTAGTCTTATCTAAAGTGGTGCAGATTGCTATCAGCGATCACTATATGATTTTAGTTGTTCGTAAAATTAATATTCATCCTAAACAAAACAACCGCCACAAGAAAGTCGAATTTCGGAACTTTCCTAATGGATTTGAGCAATCAGGAATGGGAATTGTTGGACAATAACTTCTGCATTGACAGGATGTGGGAAACATGGAAAATTATTTTCTTGTCAGTTCTAGATAAGCATGCACCAATTAGAGAAAAGAGAGTAAAAAATATACCAAATATTTCTTGGCTGACTAATGCAATTAAAAAACAAATACGTGAACGCGATCGTCTCAAATTCCTTGCGTTAAATACAAATCAGAATATTACTGGACTGCATATAAAACCTCTAGAAACCATATAACTAGAATCCTGCGAGAAGCAAAAACAGCATATTATAAAGCACAATTTGAAAGTGTCAAACATGACCATAAAAAAAGCTTGGAAAACGGTTAATAAAATCCTTAACCGGAAACAAGAATGTCGCGAAATAAATTGTAACCATACTCAGAATGGTCAAATTTCTTGTCCAAATGAATTAGCGGAGCACTTTAATAATTACTTTACTGACATTGGTCCAAAAATTGCCACAACCATTGGTAATACTGATAGAAATTTCACGGATTACATAACAAAAGCAACAAGTAGTTTCAAGTTTCAAACAGTGTCTGAAACCAAAGTATACAAACTTCTCTCCTCTTTAAATCCTTGCAAATCTACTGGAATTGATAAAATTCGCGCTAAAATTATTCTTATTGCTGCGCCAATAATTGCAAATTCACTGACAAGAATTTTTTAATACGGCAATCTATAGTGAAACTGTTCCTTCAGAGTGGAAACTAGCGAGAGTTATCCCTTTACACAAAAATGGCCCTCGAAACATGTTGAGTAACTATCGCCCAATTTCCATTCTGCCTATAGTAAGTAAAGTTTTTGAAAAAGTTCTATATAGTCAACTATATGATTATTTTGTTGTTAATAATTTGTTGTCTCAAAATCAATTTGGTTTTAGGCAGTTCCATTCTACAGCTTCTGCCCTTTTGGACAGTACTAACGAATGGTTCATTAGTATGGACCATGGTCAATTCAATATTGCAGTATTTCTTGACTTGCAGAAAGCATTTGATACTATAAATCATAATATATTGATTAAGAAACTTGACCTTTATGGTCTACAAAAACCTGCCCTAAATCTTTTAGGATCATACTTAGAAAACAGATTTCAAATGTGTACTGTGAACGGAATATTGTCTAGAAAAAACCTAGTTACTTGCGGGATCCCCCAAGGTTCAATTCTTGGGCCACTCCTGTTTCTAATTTATATAAACAGATCAGTCTTGAACACTCGTAATCAAGAATGTATGCCGACGATACAACGTTAACTGTATCTGGTAAATCTCTTCATGATGTAGAAGTTGCCATCAATCACGATCTTTCAAACGTTAATCAGTGGCTGTGTGCAAATAAACTATCTTTAAATCTCGTTAAAACTGAGTACATACTAATTGGATCACGGCATAATATTAATAATATATTGGCTACCCCAAAGGTATTTGTTGGTGACATACCAATTAAAAGGGTAAGAGAAACAAAGGCACTTGGAGTCTATATTGATGAATTTCTATCATGGGAAAAGCATATTGATAACATTGCCAAAAAAGTATCATCTGGAATTGGGGCAATCAGAAAGTTAAAATCATGTGTAGACCGTAATACATTAATTTGTGCCTATAATGCACTTGTTTTGCCTCACCTTGATTGTTGCGAAGTTTGGGACACCATTGGTACCACACTTTCTGATCGTCTCCAGACATTACAAAATAGGGCTGCTAGAGCTATCGTGGGTCGTAAAAATGAACATGGTCAATCTGAGCTTGCTCTAAACGAATTAAAGTGGAAGCCTCTGTGCGAACGCAGAACCCAGTTTGTGGCAAGTCTTATGTATAAAATTACTCATGATCTAGCGCCCTTACGACTTAAATAAAGTTTTACCTACCCTATCTATGAAATGAGTCAAATAAGATTCCCGAAATTGATCGTGTTCCCCTAGATACAGTATTTTTTTATGCAGACTGGTGGTTGAAAATATAGATTATAGTTTACAATTTATACGAACAATACAGTACCTTAACAAAACCGGGGTTACATTTTCTGATGGTTCCCAGGAGCAGCCATGAAATGGCCATCGTTTCCATTTGATAAGGTACTCATAACCCTGAAAAAAGATAATATTAAACGTATTATAAAAGACTAATTTTATATATTTTGCAATGACAATGTAGACTGTAGTCTGTAAGTATAAAATTTCCGCAAAGTTAACTTACTTGAGGTCTTTTCCTTCGCTCAACAATTCTCTCAACGTCAAAAAACTTTGAGCGTCTTCTTTTGAGTGTTGTGTCGTATAAAACAGTTGACGAAAAATCGAAAATGAATGCAATTGTTTGTAATCAACATTTGTTTGTGATCTCTTCAAGCTAGAAGCCATACTGGAAGCCATATTGTTTTCTATTACCACACGGAAAGCCGCTGGATAAGTGGCGCGCGGTATCAAATTTTCATGCAGAGATCCGCTGTGCAAGGCAGGCGCATGTCCCTCATTTCTGGCAATGCTTTTCCATATTTCCTTGCGCTAAACTAGTATGTTGTTGAACATTTGAATGAAATATAGCACATTATTTTCTATATAATTCTATAGCTATCTTACCCGCCTTTTATACCTTGTCCTGTGAATAATATAGCAGATAAGGTTTAGCAAAGTATAATATGTGCATGATATAAGGTGTCTCGACATTTTGTCATTTACATTATCCATAAACTATATATGTACAATGTCTCGCACAAACATATCATTACTTTATGATATTTTATAAGCATTTTAAAGTTTCTATTAATATATTGATCGGTTGTTTATCTCTAGTACAGCATTTAATATTTAGAGGCTATATTTAATTCTAAAAAGTCGATAGTTATATTGATGTCTTTAAAAGTGCAAGCTGGATCTCATGCTAATCCATAACAAAACAAAACTGGGATAGATCAAGCTACAAAGCTATACTGGCAATAAAACCTCTTCATAATATTTATAATATGCCTGGTGTATATTACTGTGATAAATACGAAATAATTGTGTATACGCAATACGCATATTACAATACTGTCTCTTTTGGATAATTAAATATTCAAACTGTACCGCACACAACAAAAGAGTCTTTGTCTTTGATTTACCACACGTTTGATTACCGGCAGAGTGTTCCTCGACACAATTCTTGATCATAGAGTCTCAGCGATGCCAAAACGGTTTACATATATCAGTCTTTAACTCATTAACTGGCAAGCTGTTACAATGTTACCACCCCCTAAAGTGGCAAGCAATATGGCGAATTCATGATTGAATTCCAAACTTTCACCAAAATGCCAATATCTCAGAAACAATTGCATAAAAAAGTCTGATCTTTTCAACCAAACATAAATGATATATGATTGACCAAATTTAGTTTAGATGACCTTGCATACCTATATATATCATTAGTTTTTTCAGTCAGTATTTTTATTTATAAAGCAGTGACACTTTGTTTTCCATGTCACTCGTCACCTAAAGGGGCAATATCTCCATAAATTTATATAAAAACCAAAAAAAAAATCATTTACTAAATTAATACATATCTATATTACAACCAATTTTCATCTTTTGGGATATGAATTATGAAATTATCAAAAAATTTAAAAATTACTTCTTTGCTTTTTTGGGGCATTTTGTTTACAACATGAAATTTATAACAGTAACTAAGTGTTCAAGTTCAACAAAGTGTGCAAGCCAAAACACAGTGTTTGTACATCTTTAAAGTTTTTTGATTGCTTCAAATATATTTAAAAAGACACATAGTGCTTAAAATTATTTATTTTAATATAAACCAAGGATGGGAAGGTGAGAAAATGGGAATTTTCTGAGGTGTTTTTAACACAGACAAATATGACAGCCGACATTTTGAAAGGCACTCTGCAGTGACAAAACTAAAAGCTATTCACTTCTGTACTCAAAGCACTGAAAAGCATCATAAAGAGAAAAACACTTTAAACACATGCCAGGTAAGACTTTTAGCTCAATATTTTCATGCTTCTATTGGGAAAACAACGGTTTAAAAGCCAAAATTATTTTGCGCGCCAATGTAGGCTGCTATAAAATGTCAGACAGGCGGTTTCTTTTGAAGTCTGGCTCTGAAAAACAATCTCCTTTTTTGAGTTTGAAATAAGCCTTCATAAGGACTATTGTGTAGAAATGTTATCTATATCCTCACATGAAAAAGATAACCTAATTTTCAGGTATTCCAAATAGCTATAAAAGGGTGAAATAAGAAATTTCATCTTTGGTTGTTTGTCAGACGTGAGAAACCACATTAGTGCCATTTTGTCGCGCGTGCTATTTTATAAAATAAACACCTCAAAACCATAAACCTTTAGTTCAGAAAATTACAAAGTTTCCCATAGACATTATTAAAAATGTTCTAGTGAAGCGATTTCATGATAAATATGTGAGCAATGGGCCCCAAAAGAACTGCTAAGGTTAGTTTTTGTTAGGACTTCAATTTCATGGCTTCCCACAAAGGAAGCCATTTCAGAGGGAAGCAACATTTTGCAAACCACCGTCGCGACCTATTTTGATAACTTTTCCTTCTGATTCAACGTGTAGTTACTAGAAAATGATGTTGCATCAACATTATTATCTGCTTTATCGATTTAAAGTTTTATAGGGGATATAAAAAACAGTAAAAATGCATTTTGAAAGCTTTACAACTCAAGTGCGGACTTTTTGAATATTCGCACGCGGCAAGCAAGCGCGTTTATTCAATACATTTATTTTAAACCACAATACGTCTGAAACGAGTTGTCATTTTAACACTAAATTGATGAAAATCGATATAACAGTGATTTTGGAATATC